GGTGATGGGGTTTCTGGACTTAGAACTAGGCTATCTCTACCTCTCGGTGGATACACCACTATTTCCAGGCGGAAATCTTTGCGATTTTGGCTTGCGGATCTCGCATTCTGGAGGAGGGTGGGCCTAGGAGAAGAATAACAATCTCCGACAGCCAGGCTGCAATGAAGGCACTAAGTGCCTGTAAGATTACTTCGAGTCTTGTATTGCAACGCAGGGAGGCTCTGGATTGCCTCGCAGCGAAGCATCCGGTATCGTTAATCTGGGTACTGGGGCACGCTGGGATAAGGAGCAATGAGAAGTGCGGATGCTCTTTCGAAGACAGGATCAGCCAGCTTTAGCAGTGACCGCGCATAGAGCTAGGAGGAAGATGGAGACGTGGATTGCAAGACAACATTCTCAGAAATGGATAAGTATCTCCAGACATCTCCGCCACGGAACTCATTGAAGGGCCCAGTGCGAAGGATGGACGTTTCTGCTTATCACTGGATGGAGCCAACCTAAGGTCGCTGGTGGGACTGTTGTTGGGCCATAACACGTTAAGGCGCCACCTCCACGTGATGGGGGTGGCTGAGAATCCCTTCTGTGAGCGCTGCGGGGTAGAGGATAGAGACATCGGCGCAAGTTTTGTCTCGCTGTGAAGCTCTGAACTACTATAGGCAGACTATACTGGGGTCCATTACGTTGGACCCTCAGGACCTGAAGGAGCGTGGACTCAAGGCGATTCTCAACTTCGCTAAAAGCGTGAGGCTTGTGATCTAAGGACCCGTTTAAGCGGCCTATGCACTGGCTCTTTATGGTAACCGGAATGCCTCTAATTTCCTAAAAGTGCTCGAAATTCCTTAAATTGTAATTCGTAATTGTATTCATTCTCACGACTCCTATGTCTGTTTCTAATTGTCTACCGCAGTGAAAACCTGACGCTGGCACACCGTAAAGGAGGTTGTTGAAGGCCGGGGTCGGATGTCAAAAACATTCGGAATGCGACATCGGGAGTTCGAGGAGTTCGCCTTCAACGATGATTGATCACCCTATCCAGGATATTTTATTAAATCCACCGACTTCAGCCATGAAATATGCATGCACACACATCCTGGATACGAATTTAGGAAAAGTCTGTTTTGTCTGCCATATTTGTTTTACTCTTTTTATACCGGATGTATTTCAACTTTTCAGGAAATTGGTAGCATTTCTTCGAAAATATATTTATTTGCAAAACATTTTGAACTGACCTGTTAGCTAGTTAGTGTGGGAGTGTGGGACAAATCTTAATGAGGTGAACTTTTGTATAAACGTGTATCTTGTCATGGCAATATACAACAAATTAAATGCTATCATTTTGAATCCCATATAGCGGATGTTACATTTCCATAGTAACCCCTACAATATCGGTGTCAAATGAAAGGGCCTGATTGGAGAAACAATAAACAAAGTGGCATATTTTAAATCTAACATAGCTACCTCCGTAAAATGGCGAATTATCACTTCCACAGTAATCCCGTTTTACTTCTTCGATCAATTAAACAAGTAGATTTATAGATATAAGATATCTCCCGTATTTACATACGTAATATATTATTTATATTGATCTAAACCACGTAATAAAAATGAGGTGAGGAATTATACTCACTGATATTAGGAGTGTTACACCCAGAAAAAAATAATTTCTTAAACTTGTGTTTTTGGCAAGGTAATGACTATATTAAAAGCATGCGTTTCGTCTTTGTTTTTGTTTACCCTTGTTAAAATTTTATTTCTTACTTTTTGTGAAGAAAGCAGTTTCTGAGAGCTGAGTGGTACAGATACTTTTAGTCGTTGCCCTTTCATATACTAGTGTTAAGCATAATAAAATGGCTCGAGTTCAAGGACGTTCAAACTATAACCATGTTAGCGACTTTGACAGGGGTAGAATTATTGCTTATCGAGATGTTGGCTTGTCCTATCGTGAAATTGTCCGCCGTGTTAATTGTTCTGCAATGATGGTAACGCGTGTTTGTCGTGTGTGGATAGAAGAAGGTAGAGGAATACGAATAAGGCCAACTGGTCCACCGAGGCGTACCACAGAGCGTCATGATAGACGCTTCAGGCAACTAGCCCTCCGAGACGGTTTTGCTACTACGGGTCAGGTCGCTACACAAAGTTTTGGAGAAGATAGCGCACTCTATCCCGCATTCGAGCCTTTGTACTTTTTTCATACCGTCCACGGTTAGTGCTTCCTCTGACTGCGAACCACTGTCGTCAGCGTCTCAACTGGAGAAGATTACGGCAACATTGGAAGGCAGAATGGGATAATGTCATCTCCAGCGATGAATCGCGATTCTGTCTAGCTACGCACGATGGTCGTAGAGGACGGCGTGATATTGAGATTGCTGTTGAGAGGCAGGTACACAGGACTGCTAAAATAATGGTTTGGGGGTATATTGCCTAAGGTAGCCGATCACCCCTTCCCTTTTTTCAAGGCAATATGACTGCCAAACTGACAAACCACTTTACTGCCGTATGTAGAGGGCCGTCCACACGTTCTATGTCACCAATACAACGCACGTCCCCATATTGCTCGTCAAGCTAGAGACTTTCTTCAAGAAGCAGGCGTTAATGTTTTGCCGTGGCCACCCCGTTCACCGGATTTAAATCCCATCGAACATGTGTGAGATGTGATGGGGAGGAGACTATCCACTTTGCACCATCCACCACAGAATCTGCCACAGTTAATCCACGAAGTTCGAGTTGCTTGGAAGGAGGTTGTGTCAGTAAGGCTACCTCTTTGACAATTTTTTTTTTCTGGGTGGCACTGAGAATATTTTTTTCTGATTGGTAATATTCTGCTTAACCGTAACCTTTAAACGATAATGAAGCGCTCTCGATTCATGCTTCAAAATAAAGCGTGTGCCATTTTACAGCAAGAGAGACATGCTTTCTCTTGAAAACCTAAGACGAAGGAGCTTTATTGTCGTTTCAAGATTGAAAAGCATAAAACGACGTTATATCTAATCGGAAAAATAAATTTAGTTTTCAGTTTTTTTTATTAACGGCTAAACAAATGCTTGTTATTAATTTTTTTCTTCTCTGTGTTGCCATCTTGTCGTCCTAAAACAGTAAAGCTGTCATCTGCGATCGACTATAAGAAAACAGGGCCTTTACTTTCCAAACTGCAAGCTATAATACGAACTTTTTCAGTCAGTTTTGAAATAATTATTTGCCTGAAAAGTACGGAAAGTGATACCTTTACAAAAATACACTTGCAGATTTTTAAATACGTTCTATGTTTTATTAGAAATTTATTAAATGTAAAATCAACAAATCAACAATTACAATATCAATAATTCATTTATAATAATTATTAACAAGATTAAAAGTAAAAGAACAGCTATTTGGGTTATGAAAACTTGTAGGCGTTCTCGAAGCAGAACTAGGGCCGCCGGCGTCGCTTTCTTCTAAAATTTCATTTCTCGCAAGGTATGAGTGCGGAAAAGTGTTACTTTCTGCACGAAGATGCGTGTTGAAAAAGATGCTCTTTGCGTATTGCCGGCACCATTAGAGTTGCCAGTTACAGGCTTATCATTTCCGGGCAATTCAAGGACAAACATAGTTATTTATCATAGAAGGGAAAAAGTACTAGATTAGCTAAAATCTAGTATTTTTCTGTGACGGGAAAACGACGACTTTATATTGAAAAATTGTATTATTACAATATTTAAGTCAGACAACTATCGATGTGAAATTTGAATTTTCAAATTAATAGGCTATGTTGTACTTATAGCGACAATTAGACCTGCGTTGCTAAGGAAACCTTTAAAGTAATCAAATAAGTAGCTGTCAATTTAATTTTGTGATTTGATTTGAACTTAGTGGTTGTTTAGAAGTTATATTTAATACTATAAAGTAAAAAATGTCTGATTCCGAGTTTTGTTTAACCTCTTCAAGGATGATTTTTCCAACAAAAATTTAAAACGCCGAAAAAAATTAATTATGTATTTAATTAACATTTAAAAGTTATAATAAACGTTATTTTCTGTTATTAATGTTTTTTGTTGGAAAAAATGGCAAAACTGTTGTGTACACATATGTGGCCAATGGCCGTTTGAGGTATTGTTAGGCATATACATTTACTTATTATGTAGGTACATTAGTTATGGAAATTCTCTATACATTCTGGACAAACAGCTTCTTCACATTTCTTACATGCATAACTTGTGCGTTTTTTACAGTTTCTGTCGTGACAACGAGGTGGATTTTTGTAGTTAACTTTCACAAGAAAATGTCCTATTCCATCGGTACGTATTTCAGATACAGCTTTTATAAAAGCCCTTTTTTTCGAGGCATTGGCACCTCACTAAGAGGCCTGCCTCTTTTTCGCGCGCTACCATTCATCTTCAAAATTGTGCTAGATACTGACGCCTTGAACTCAACAAAGGGGATTTTATTGTTTTTAGATTTTTTATACAGTATCCAAGAATTGATCGTGCTAACATTCAAAAAATGGAATGCTATCCGCATGTAAAACTTTTTGTTCTTTGTGCCATGAGGATAGTGCTCCACCATGCGGTCAGCCATATCAAGTCCGCCCATGAAGCGATTATATTGTTTTATTGCTTGAGGTCTTTGATCTTCAATATATTTGTGTTCTTTTCTATCCCAACGTTTTACTGTGTCATGTGGTTCCTTTCCAGTAAAACGAGAAATCATATGAACAATTTTATTATCAGCCGATCGCCTAACTGTTATATTATCAGAAGCTGTGGCTACCGAAACAGCACCTCGCCCTTGTTTCAAAAGTTCTTTTCCTTCACTAGTTTTCCTACAGCCTCACCTATGTATTCTATTAGATCTAACTGTTCCAACAACAAAAATAAGGTTATTTTTTAGGTAACTAATAATCGGAATTGACGTAAAAAGGTTATCTAGAAAAATGTTGTAGTTTTTTCCAGGTATATCAGCACACATTCTTGCTACAGTATCGCCGATTATTCCAAGTTCCGATTTTGGTTTATCCTTTGACGTACATTTCAAATTTAGAGACATTACCATCAGCAGACGCTCTCAGCCAAACTTTGAATCCCCATTTTTTTGGTTTTGACATTATATATTCTTTATTTTTGCTTCTACTTTTGAATGGAATAATCATCTCGTCTATAGCCATATATTCAGTTGGAGTACATGACGTGGCAAATGTCTCTAAAAGGGCATCCAGGTATGGCCGTACTTTGATAAACGAATCTTTGTTCTCTGGTGAAATGTCTTCGTTGTTTATAAAGTGCAAATATCGTTTGATATCTTCATACCTTTTTAGCGCCATTGTATCAGCTATAAGATCGCAACGTAATCCAGAAATCGAAGACCATTACATTCTATAAGACGGATACTTTATATAAGTCATAACTACGTTTATAGCAAAAAATTTCCTAATTTCCTCGGAAGTAACGTAAAACTCTTTCCCGGATTGTACAGCATATCGTATAGTTTCGGCTGCAATGTGATCAAAAAGTTTATCTGGAAAAATTTCCCTGAAAAAGGCATAAGGAGTTTTACCGTCAATGTTTATTTGATGGTGAGATAAAAATGGTGTTGCATTATTTGCAAAGTCATTGTCTTTTTCCGCAACCCAAAATCTAGCTTTTTGTTTATTCTGGAGTTTTACATTTGGCCATCGAGTGAAATGAATCAGGGGCAAGTCATCGTCACTATCGCTAGAAGATCCATCGCTGGAAGTAGCACTTTCGGAGTTGTCTATTATTGCTGCTCCTATTTGCTCTGTATCTGAATCATCAACTTCGATTTCCTCGAGGTTCGAACTATTTGGATTTTGTACCATATCCAAAATTTTTATTTTTTTATTTTTGCCGTAAAACCATTTTGGGGAAATTTCTGGAAGTGTATCTGAAAATTAGGAAAGTAGGTATTTCTCAGGAAAACTAAACGTAATGTGCAAAACTAGCATCGTTTTACATAAAAAATCCACACATATATACTTATAGCTGTTTTTAGAAACGATAGAAGCAATTATATTAAAAAAATTCAAAATTTTGCACTCAAAACCGTTTTACTATAGTCTACAGAATCTTCTCCGACAACTAATCAAAAAATGCACGTACAAATCTGCCCAACTTACGCAAATGTGGACACCACGTGTTCTCATTTTTTTCTAAGATATAGACAAGCTCACTCACAAATACATAAATATATCAATGCTCTATATCATAAATATAACTTACCCATTTTTTAACGCGAGTTATCGCATTGAATTCACAAAAAATAACGCAAAACTATACACCTAAGCTCATTTCATGTGGCTCAGTTCAGAATCATAAAAAAACTGAAGCCTGGCAAAGCGAGACGTCCATACCCTTATTTAGGCGCTTTATAAGGTAAATGGCATCATTTGTGGCCACTGCGCCCTGAAGGAAAGCCGTAGTTTTTAAATTACGCAGTATTTGTTTAAACGTACACATTTGTGCCTATGTCCTTGAAGAGGTTAACTTCACCGGAATTAGTAGAAGTAGCCAAAGTAGCATCACAAAAATTATTGCCAGCTAAATCGCGGAAAATTTACGAAACCGCGTATTAAAGATTCATGGAATGGAAGATGAAAAAAAACATGCAGCTCTTTGTCGGAGACGGTGTTACTGGCTTATTTTTCGGTATTTACATAACAACAAAGGCCATCAACAGTGTGGTTTAATTATTCAATGATTAAAAGTATGTTACGATCCAATAATAGACATTTTAAAATATTTCAAAATAATTACATTTCTGAAACAAAATGAGAACGGTTACAAGCCCAAGAAAGTTGCGATTTTTGAGAGTACACAAATCAGTGATTTTTTAAATAATGCTCCTGATGAAGTTTATTTAGTGGACAAGGTTGTTGTTGTATTTGGGAGTGCAGGAACTTGTCGAATTTGTGAAATCAACCAGGTAACATTAGGTGATATTGAAGATTCGGAAATGTTATCAATTGTGAAACTTAAGGAAACAAAGAATGATGTAAACAGGAGATTTGTAGTTACTGAAAAATATATTAAATTTTAGCGAATGTGCATAGCCCTTCGTCCAGCAGCAGCAGCAAAGGATCGCTGCCTGTTTTAGGCATATCACAATGGAAAATCTATCAATCAGGTTGTGGGTAAAAACCAGTTTTACAAGGTTCCCGAAACAGTGGCTAATTTTCTTCAACTTGAAATTGTTAGCTCATATACAGGTAATTCATTTCGAAGATTGTCTGCTACACTTTTAGTTGAATCTGGGGAGACTTGATGACATTAACTCGTTGGTCCTGAGCCAGCTCTAGGAGTAACCGCGCATAAAGCTAGGAGGAAAATGGAGACGTGGGTTGCAAGACAACACTCTCAGAAATGGAGAAGTATCTCTAGACATCTCCGCCAGGCACGAGAGCTCATTGAAGGGCCCAGTGCTAAGGATGGACGCTTCTGCCTATCTCTGGGTAGAGCCAACCTAAGGTTGCTGGTGGGACTGTTGTCTGGCCATAACACGTTAAGGCGGCACCTGCACGTGATGGGGGTGGCTGAGGATCCCTTATGCGAACGCTGCGGAGTAGAGGAAGAGACCTCGGCGCACGTTTTGTGTCGCTGTGAAGCTCTGAGCTACTATAGGCAGACTATACTGGGGTCCATTACTTTGGACCCTCAGGACGTAAAGGAGCTTGGACTCAAGGCGATTCTCAACTTCGCTAAAAGGGCGAGGCTTGTGATTTAAGTATTGTAGAGGTGCATAAGGGCCCGCTTAAGCGGCCTATGCACTGGCTCCTTATGGTGGCCGGGATGCCTCTAAAATTCAAGATTCATTCATTCATTGATGACATTAAAGCTACATGGCGGTTGGAAGTTATTAACGGTCGCTAAAGGGAATCGGTAGCACACAGGACAGAAATAGCTAATAAAAGTGTTTAGGACGTGTGGTAGTGCTGAAATAACACCGGATTTGCGACCAAGTACACCAACGGGAGTTGTGTTGACAGAAAAATACAATTTAAACACAAGAAAATTCGACTGTTGTACTGAATAGTTTAAGGAACGTGGCGTTCATGCAATGCACATTTAATAATAGTACTTTTGGTGTGAAAGAAATGTAACTTTATTGTATAATAAAATATCCGGGAAAAAAGTGCCAATTTTTTCCCTGGAAAAAAGTAATTTCATAAAGTGACATTTTGTTAGCTGTCAACAGAGATAAAATGTCAAACTTTTTATATATATCTATATATTTTAATTAGTCCTCAACAATATTTCATTGTTATATTTTAAAAGACTTCAAAGTTACTTGACTCTCAAAAGCTACCATATATATTTTTTAATATTACAATAACGTAACCAAAATTGAGCACCTCGCTTACATTCATTGATTAATCTATACTTTAATAGACAATACAGTTTGTACCGTAATAAAAATTGAAAAAAAACGTTAACCTGAAAATTAAGTATCACGAATGTAATTGGTTGCACTTGGCAGCCGTACGTTACGTGTAGTATTGGTAATTTTGTGGAAAAATAGTAGGTGTTCGCAATCAGGGACAGTAAAGTCTTATTACTGGACACGGGATAAGATGCAAAATCCAGGACATTCCCGGATTTCTGGCCAGCCTAGGACATACGGCTCGTCGTGTATATAAACACTCACCAAATAAATCCTCACAAACTGATGTGCTGTTAGATAATTGCGATGCCTTTACGCTCATTGTATGTATCTGTGCAGCAGTTTAATCTATCAGAAAGCTCTATTCACTCAAACCAAGTTTTCCTCGTTGTGCATGCTAGTACAGGGGAAATCTTTTGTCACATTCCTCGAAGCATCGCGTGGTATTTTTACCTCCTGTGAAGGACGACGAGGTATTCAGGGAAACTCTCTATGGCCATTTTCTATCTCCTCGGAAATCGACATTCAAAGAATTTTGCTCCATTCTATTTATACAACTTTGACATGAATGCTGTTACTGTTTCATTTTCTGGGAAACCGTTTTAGATATTGCAACGTCTTTGAAAATGTGATCTGCCGACAAATAATTTTAACACACGCTGAATAGGATCTGGTTGCCTTATATCTCTGCGTCCATAACCAAATTTACACAAAGTTTTTTTTATTTAATAATTACCCGCTTCGACCTAAAGGCCATTAGCGGTACGGCTTACATGCTATATTTTAAATAATACATTAGTTTGCTGTAGGAAACGTAATAGATTGCTTATGTTACTATTTGGTGCTAAAATATCACACATGGTTGATGATGTGAGGTTACATTCCATTCTATAGTGCTCTAACAAAGGGCACTGCACTAATGTGTGTTTGACACTGAGAGGGGTTTCACACACTTCGCACATGGGTTCTGGTTCCTGCGTGATGAGATGTCCATGGGTGATCCGGGTGTGACCTAAACGGAGTCGTGTGATGATTGTTTGGTGTTTTCTGTTTGTTGTGTGTGTTGTCCATGGTCCGAATCTAGGTTTCAGTTCAAACAGCTTTGTTGCTTTGTTCTGCCAGTTGGTATTCCAGGTTTGAATAGCTCTTTGTTTAAGGTGAGATTTTATATCTGTATCTGGGATGTTTATGGTTGATGTGTGATCCAAGTTTGCTGCTAGTTTAGCTTGATGGTCTGCTTTTTCGTTGCCTTGGATACCAACGTGAGAAGGAGTCCATACGAATACAATATCGTGGTTGTCTGCTTGTAATGAGTGGAGAATCTGCTTAATTTGGTGCACCAGGTGGTTTTTCGTATATATCTGCTCAATAAGCTGAAGCGAGCTTAGAGAATCAGTTATTATGAGGCTTCGTTGGGTGTTGTGCTTCTGTACGTGTTTCATGGCTTCTAATATTCCATATAATTCTCCTGTTAGAATTGTTGCTTCGTCTGGTAATTTCATTTTAATGGTAGTAGTGGATGTCACAACAGCTGTTCCTAGTCTATTGTCAAGTTTTGATTCATCTGTGTATATTTTCTCATGGTGTTGGTATTTGTTTACACAAAGTTGTTTCATGACTTTTGGCAATAATTAGTTTGGTACACGTCTAAGACAAGCGAAACCAAACAATCGAAAACAGTACTCGTAATCTGCAAAAACTGCTCGAAAATATTTCCACCATGTTGAATACACAGCCGTAGTCTTTGGATAAATGACCATTGCACATCCCTCAGCATGTGTTCCCTTATGTTCAGAAAAGCAACCTTAACTCTTTCCTTCACATTTTCCGTGGTAGATGGAGGATATCTATAAGCCTCTTGCTTTACGTAGCCCCATAGAAAGAAGTCAATCAGTGTCATATCTGGTGATGTAGGAGGCCAAGATA